CAATCTCCCCCCCTCTCCCACACCACCCCCCTTCCCACTTGCTAAAAATTTAAACCTTGAGTTTTTAAATTCTTCACCCCCCCCCCCCCCTTGTCATATTAAATGAACTTTCCCTAACAAGAATTTTCCAAAGTTTTTGCGTAAAAAAAAACAGTAGAGTTACGATACTGAGAACGGGTTCAATCTACAACAGCTACACTCGCTTGTGAATGGCCCGATGATTAAGTAGACAAGACTCGAAGGTAACAGAAACCCTTCAGTAATGGATTTGAGCGATGTTTCCCATTTACCAAAGTCGATTAAAATGTCGGTTCGACTTCTCTCAAGTTTCATCCCATGGCCACCCCATTTTAACCTACCTACCTATTTTTTAACAAAGGCACTTTTTTAAACATATTTTCTTGGGAAATAGTGAAGTAAGGCGCGGTTCAGACACCGAACTTTACATGAGCCGAACCGAATTCGAATTAAGGCCGACTCAAATTATTTAGACCGCCTCGATTGACACAAACGCCGATCTTAATTCCAGCTGAACTAAACTCAAAAGGCAAAAAATGCTCATTTCGGTTAAACTGCTCGCAAAAAACATAATAATTTATGCATTAGGTTCGGCACATGAAAAAAATCGGCTTCTGAATCAATACCGGTCAAAAGTCGAAATTCCTCGACGGGCTAGGCTGGAAGTACGGCTGACCCGTTCCAAATTGAAACAGGCGTTCATCATTGATTCAAACGCCGACCTATTCATGTACTTAATGCAATGTACTAGGTTCGGCTCATGAAAAGTCCGGCTTCTGAACCGGGCCTAACTTAGCAAGACGGGGCCACTATCGGCATCATATCCATTCATAGGCGAAAAACCGGGGAGAGCATATTCCGTGTACTTGTGTCACGGTGTTTTCACCCATCAGTTTATTTTTAGAAAGATATTGGCGCTAATTCAGGACATCTTTTAAAAAAAAACCAATATATAACCAGTCAGCAAAACTTTAAGTCCTGAAAATGCTATTTTTTTCCTTTTAATGTCGCTCAATTTTCTTTCGTCATATTTTATACTTCTAATGCACCCATAAACGGAGCAGAGCTTCCATTTTCGCCAGAAATATTACGAAGATGTATCTAAAAATAAACCGGTCTGTGATAACGCAGTGTTAAAGTTGCTCGCTCCGTACTATGGTCTCCTGCAAAAACCAACTTTTGCGACATTAAGCTTTTACTAACTTTCCTTTGTTTGGTTCTTTACTAAATTGAAAACGCTGATTAATTGATAACAGTGGCGGATGATCATTTTTATATCAAACATGCCGAGACCCGCCGGGCAAAAATTAGTATTTTCCACAATGCTCCCATTTGATATGGTCT